TGTTTGTCTGCCTTTAGAGTGGGACGAGGATCAGGAAAGGGGATGCTGTCCGGCGGCCCCGGACTGCATCCTCTTCTCCTCGTCCCGAGTCCCGCGCGCCGGCTGCAGGTTCGCACGGTCGAGTAGGGGGACGTATAAAGAGGGGTAAGGGGACGAGTGGGGTCAAAGACCTGAAAGAGGAAGAATTTTCAGCTCCCGGGGCGCAATCGTGCGTTCACGAAGGCGACGACGGCTCCAGGGCAATAGCGAAGCACGGCGATGGCTGCTGCTAGCCGGCGGTACTGGCGCGCCGGCTCGACTAATAGCCCAGAGGGGCGGGGCGGAGTGGTGCGGGGGGCGAGGTGAGGAAGCAGCTAGGCCCGGCTCATCCTGTTCTTCCGCGGAAATGACGCAAACTTTTCACGAGGCGCGCACGACGACTTCCGCAGAGAGCAAAGGAAGGGTCCACGTCTGACGTGCAGCACCACGCCACTCCGCCGCCGCTGCAGCCGTCAGAGAGAAAAAGACGACTGCCGTCGGTCGATGCCGTTGGCAATACGGCCGGGCCGGGGCAGGGGAAACAAACAGAAACGTAAACGATTATTTTTCCTGCCACCGAAAAGTTGAAAAACAAACAAAAAAATCAAACCGGGGTCGTCTTTGAGCGCGCGCGCGAGGACTGAAGTCGAGGAGAGCTGAGGCGTGGGATTACAATAAGTCTCCGGACGAGTCGGGGGGAAGGGAGCATGGGCAGAGGGGTACGACGAAGGCAGCGAAAGCAATGAGCTTACGGCTGATCATTGGCCGGCCTTATGAAATCGATTTATAACTGTCAATGCGCCCCCGTAATCGCGGCTCCGCCCGGCGGGGACCCCGGGGCCGGCGGGGGCCGCCCTCCCGGGGATGATCCCCTCCGTCGCCCACCCTGACGGATGGCCTTTTCAAAAGGAGAGGTGACGGTCGAGTGTTTTGTCCGCGCCTCCTCCCCCGCAGCCCCTTCTTCCTTTCTGACACCACCACCACCACCACAACGGACGGCGTCCTCGACAACATTTTCAGCCGCCCCGTCGTGTCCCTTGCCCGGCCGGCGGCCGGCCCGGAGCTCGCCGCGCTATCTCGTCCGGCCGTGCGCAGGCGAGAGGGTGTTAAAAAGGTGTGTGGTCCGTGATGTGCGAACCCCGGTTGCCGCTGCCCGCGACATTTTACTGGCCATCAACCATCGTAACGTTGCAGGTCATGAACCTGACGACCACAACCACCGAGGTTATTTATTGTATTAAAGGTGTAGGTGTAGCAACATGATAACGAATATTTTCGGCCGGTCAAATTTTTCCCATTGAAAAATAACTAAAATTAAAACAGGTCAATTCGTGTGATGGCACTCACCATGCACGTCGATGCAGCCCAGCTGGCTCTTCATGTTGATGGTGTTGATCTGGCACATGTAGCAGCCGCGGTCGCTCTCCTTGACCTGGCGGATGTGCAGGTGCCAGGTGCGCTGGTTGTCGTGCGACACGCTCACGCGCGAGTTATGCGTCACGACCCGCGTGTGCATGGTGAGCACCGTCTGGTCCGACGCCTTGAGCCAGCCCACCTGGTGGGAGAGACAGAGAGAGAGAAGGGAAACATCATCAGCAGGCCGACAAGTTGTTGCCGAGTTATTCGATCCGCTAAGTGATACTGCCGGGGGAGGGGAGGGAGGAAGGGGTTGCGAGAGGGGGTTGCGAGAGGTAAAGCGGAAGAGCACGAGGAGGGAGCGGGGGATAAATGATGCATACCAACAGTGATTAGTTTGATTCGAGTTTGCAGCCGCGCCCGTGCCACCCCGCGCCGCCCCCTGCCGCCACCGCCGCGGACACGGTCGGGAGAGCCTCAGGTGAAGAACTAACGGGGCGTGCTACGGAGGTGCGCGGGGCGGTGGCGCAGGGCGGGAGGCGCAGGCTTTGTGGCGGTCCTCCCCACCCACCTCCTCCGCCGCCGCCGCCGCCGCCGTGTGGCACGGAGCGATAATGTAATTCGGCTGAGGAGGTAGGTCGGTGGGCCCCGAGGTTGCGGCCCTGCTGCGGGGGCCCGGGCGGGCCGGCCATTACCTCCGTGTTATACGGGGTGTTTGTCCGTCAGACCGAGCCGAGCCAGAGCCGGGGTGTGTTAACAATAGGCACGGCGGGCCGCTCGGCGCCGCTCGGCCTATGCCAACAATAACCGGGCTGAGCCCGGCTGGTCCAAAGCTCCACCGCGCCGCCGCCACTCCCGGCCCGACGCCGAAACTGACACCACTACCACCACCACCACCACCGCACACCGGGACAGGACAAAACTTCTGCTCGAATATAAGTATGAAATGATGCCAAAACTAAACGTTACTTAGAAATAAATGGCGCAGCTTACACTAAAAACCAGTGGCGCAAAACAGACAAAAAGAGAAACAAACAAAAAATCAGCTTCAACAAGTTCGGTGTTTGTATGTTTATTTGCTGTCCCAGATTTTTCTGTGATTATTTTAAAAAGTATGCAAAGCTCATATCGGTACCTCCTATCAATATGCGCTTATAATTCTTTAGGCTAAACGTAATCGCTCATCACCTCGGGTTCTACACAGAACCGCTTAACTACGCGGGCCCTACACAGAACCGCTCATCTGCTCGCGGCCGGGGCGCTGGTTAGGTTAGGTTGCCCCTCGTATTTACTGTAATATCACCCAATATTGGAGGCTTTTAAGGGCTATGGTAGTTTAAATATGATGTTCCAGTACAGACAAGAGAGCATGTGACATTTTTTTGTTTCTAAATTGAAGCTCAGCACCTAGGATCATCCATTGAAATCTGGGAATCACCCGCCCGTATTTCAGAAAGATGAGCGGTTCTGTGTAGGACCCGCGCAGATGAGCGGTTCTGTTTAGAGCCCTTAGTAATGAGCGGGTTTGTTTGGACTAAAAACAAATAAGCGCATATTGATAGGACGTACCGATATCTTAGTACGATGTGTCCCGAAAGGGAGGCTAAAAGCTAGAGACCGCCACCCTGCCCTGGTAGTTAAAAACTCTTGATTTTTCGAGTTAAACAGTGTCACTCACTCCTGGGGAGGAGTCTTAATTCCACTGCGGCCGCTGCATGGTTCTCCTCCTTCTGCTGTCGCTAGCTTGTTGCCCATTTTTACCCCCGCCGCTCCCCCCTCGTCGTTGTCTCCGGCCTTCCTCCTCTCTCGACCCCCTCCACTGCAGCACACCTGGCGGCGCAGCGCAGCGCCCCGCCTGTCAGTGCATGTCAGACACACGTGCCGAACGTGCCGGGACTGCCTGCCTGCGGCTCATCCCCCACTGTGCTCTACCTTCTCACCCCCTCCACCTCATTCCTCTGCTCTACCCCCCTCCCTCCTCCTCCTTAGGCCTTGTGCCTCCCGTCTCTCCCACACGGGGGCTACAGCTACTACAGCAGCTCTACGCGTTTTGGCGACACACAGTGATCCGCGTCCTCATTGTGTGATATATACAATAAGACACGGCTTCTCACCCCCACCCCCCTGCCGCACCGCTCTCACCGCTCATGTCCACTCGCCGGCCGGCCGGACGTGTTGTATAGGGGCGGGAACTAAATGGCGGCCCCGGCAGCGTTGTGGGGCTGCCGGCTGCGGCCGTGTGTGTCTGTGTGGCTCACTGTGTGGCGGGCTTTGTGTCTAGGTGCGCACAAGCGTTTGGGATTCGTGCATGAATAGGGGACGAATTACCGGGCTGACCAACGCTTTGCAGAGCTCTCTCTCCTTCTCTCTCTCTCTCTCCTCTCTATACTACTGACTACAGTATGTGTCTCTTCCCCTGCTCTACCGCCTTCTCTCCTCTCTCTCTATGCCTCTTGCTCTCCCCAACTGTGATTCACCATATGATTGGTTTGTGTGTTTTCTCTCTCAACTCTCTGCCGACACGCAATACGGCTAAGTAGTTTGGCTTGTACTGAATAAATCGTTCACGACGACGCGCGCGGAAATTCGAAATGAATGCCTGATGTGATGAAACGTGACCCCCCCCCCCTCCTTTCCCCTCCCCTCGGTCATTCACAAAACAGAAAATTGCTTCATTCCTTTGAGAGCTTGCTCGGGGGGGCTCACGGGGCCAACGCGCACCAGGCACCGAGTGTCGCTCGTTCATACGTCTGATTCATTTCTACTCCAAGAGACTTCTTGCAATTCGTCACGCAAAAAAGAAAAAAGTATAAAAATTAAAAATAAAATAGGCAAAACAAAAAAAAGGGGGGGGGAGAAAAGTTGCCACCGCGCGCACTGCGGCTTATGCCGTGCCGAAGGCCAATTGTCGAATGCTAGGAGAGGTAAAAATGGTCGCAGAGGCGCAAGGGGAGTTTTCCCTTGCCCACCCCACCGCCCTTCGCCGCCCGCCCCTCTTTTTCAAGAAGATTTCTCAGCCCGGACGCCGCGCGGGAAAGTTTAAACGGACTCTCGCGAGGATTTATTTGGACGCAGTCTGGTTACCATGCTGAGCTCCGGCTTACACGACACGGCTGGCCCGAGGGGCGGAGGGAGAGGCTGCTGCCGCCGACCACCACGACCTTCGTCGCGGATTGTAATGCCGGTAGCAAAAAACAAAAAAATAAAATAAAAGTTGTGGTTGGAGCTCGCGCGTATATCAGAGGTCAGGGAATGTACCAAAGGCGACCTCCCAAGCCCTTCTTGTTTTTTTTCGCTGCCCCCTTTCCCCCTGCGCGCACCCACCCAGTGCACTGTGCGTGGACGGACACACGGCCGCCGGAACTTTGCTCGGGATTTGCGTCTGTAAAAAGGAAGAGTTAGGCCCTGCGGAGGCGTGGCGGAGCGTGGCGCGGCCTGGGGCGGGCGGGCGCCTAGGTAGCGGAGCCTGCCTGCGCATGACAGCGCGCTCAGGGGGAAGGGGGAGGGAAGGGGACATCGGCTCGGGGCTACGAGGTGAGCGGGGTGGGACGGGGTGGCGGACAAGGCAAAGTTGAAGAGGAAAAGGGCAGGGAATTGGACAGGTGGCCGACCCGCCCGCACACTTTGGTACAATCGCCGCTGGCGGCGGCGGCGGCAGCAACCGGCAATGGGGGGAAAGCAAGGAAGGAACCATAGCAAGCGTTCGCGGCGAACCGACCAGGAACCAGCAGCAGGGGTGGCCTTCCGGCTAGCCTGTTGCCAAAACTAGTCCGACACCAGCCGACCGCGCGCCCGCCGGGGCTGGGGGTGACGACGGTGAGCAGCGGTGAGTCCGCCACACCCAGCGCCCCCGCTTACTTTCTCATTACGAATGTAAGCTCGGCTGGAGCGAGACCGGGGGGCACCGGGGGCGGGCGGGGCGGCTGGCGCGGGGAGGGGGCCCTTACGCCCTGACGGCCCACCTGAGCCTGTTCACGCTGAAACAAACATATTTTGGGGACAGGCTGAGGAGGGGGAGAGAGAGGAGAGCGCGCCCGCCCGGTGTTTGCAGAAGGCGCCGTGTCATCACGAAGAATGGAGGGGGTGGTGGTGGCGGCGGGCGCGGCAGGGGGGCTGGAAAAGGGGGTTGGGGGCCGCGGCGGGGCGCGCCAGCGGGGGGACCACCGGAACCCAGCGGGGCCTGACCCTTGGTGTTTGAACAGGATCATGAGTATATGAATGCGGAGTTAATGGAAGCGCCACCCTCCGGAGCGGCGAGGCTGAGGGGGGAGCCGGCGGAGGCTTGGCGGCTGCCGAGGCTATGGCGGCGGCGGGCGGGTGCTGGAGGCTTGCCGGCTCGGCTGGAGGCGGCCGGAGGAGCGGGGCCCTGCCTGATTTGTGTGTGTGCATATCGGCGCGCATCCAGGCGACCCTCTCTCGGCTCTCGTCGTCCAGTTAGTTTAGCAAACTGACCCGGCTGCGGCTATCCGGCCCCGAGTCCCTCCAGCGGGCGGGGAGGGGGACAAGCAAAGAGAGGGCGGAGTTGTTCCTCCAGCCAGAAGGAGAGAAAAGAACGATGGTTGCTGCCAGGGGTCAAGGGAGCGCGCCACTCACTCAAATCGAAACTGACTGCAGAAGTCTCCGTGATAACTCTGGTATCAAATATTAGCTTGAGCAATAAGCACGATCCGTCGGGGTCCTTCAACAATGAAACATACGTTATCCTGGGTTTTTCAGAGAGACGTCTACACCGGTATCGCCCCCAAAATCGCGCCCTGGTTCTTCGGTCCTGATGCTGCTGAGGTAGTAATAAGTTTTCTGTCAGGTTTTTGAGTGTGTCTGGCTCGCGGGTAGCGAGCCTCTGAACGGCCAGCACGAGGTTACGCCGTTGCCGTGGCGGTGCGGTGGAAGGATTCGCGGGCGTGCTGCGGAGGATCGACGCATTCCTGGAGCAACTTTCATCATTTGTTACGGCAGGCGAGCGGCTCTCGGTCGGCCGGGGGTTGGACGGTGAGCGGGGTAAGAGTTAGGGGGGACGGGCAGCCGCACGGGCGAGCTACAGGCACATCCCTCTCTTTCACATACTTCAGGCAGAAAATTGACCGACATTTCCCCCCTCTTCTCTTTTAGTTGTTTTTCTTTTTTCTTCCCGTCGGCCACGCGCGCGCTTTTCTTCCGCAGCAGCGTACTCATTTTCCTCATTCGGAGTGGATGCTACGT